GCGCTGGGTTCTATCCCTAGCACCACACACACACACACACACACACAAAAAAAAAAAACTTTACACTGTAAAGAATGTCATTATATGAAGTGTATATTTTTATTCAGTCTACACATTTCACCATATTTATCTGGTATAAAAAATTTTATTGCCCCCAAACTCTAATAATGATCTTCACAAACATACTCACCTACTTTATAAACCTTACATGGTTTTAAGACTAACCAAAACCAAGTCCAAACTGAATTACTGGTCTGTTTTCTTTAAAACTTGTAAACATGTAGGGCAATGGCAGTTCAGAATTCTGCAATGCTGAATCTGTCAATTCTTAAGTAGTTCTTAAGTTATCTCTGCTAGTGAGTAGAATGAACTATACAACCAACTGCAATTTCATTTACTTGCATTTACTAATACCAACAAGGCAACAGTATTCAGTGTATGACATCATTTTTCTGGACAATGAGAGGGGAAACACAAGCAAAAGCCTAAGGGTAAAAGAAAGGTTTCCATCATAGAATTGATTGTATCTGAGTATGATAAAATGAGACATTAAAAACCAACTGCTGTTGATTGCACACGATTAGTCCTACAGTGCCTTGCCATTGGTAAGAACTCAATGTGTTTGTTCGACTGCTAGACAGATAAAATAATGAACCTAACTAGCACATTCCCAAGGGGAGAAAAAAAAAAAAAAAACTCCAAACACTACAAACTACCAAGTTCCTTTATAAAAATGAAAACAGAGGAAATTCTATTTGCAGCATAAAGTTTATCAACAGCATAAAAGAGACTCAAATATTGCATTAAGTAAAACTTTTAAGAGTATCTATGTAAAGCACTGGAAGGAAGACAGAGATGGAGAAAATATGGTCCCTGCCCTCAAGTTACTCATAATCCAGTAGAAGGGACAAAACTAACACTGTAGAAAATAACTGGTAAATTCCATTATGATGGTGCTAAATAGGAGACTGAAAAAACAAAGATGAATGGGGGTTGGGGCAGAGGTATCTTGAAGTAAATGTGGTAGTTACACAGCTAGAGACAGTAAGAAAAGGATATGTGTATTGTATGTATGAGAGAGCAGAAGTGTGTATTTGGATAGAGTGTTGAGAAAGCTTAGAGGACTGGCTAGGGAGAGGAACAGCATATGCAAAGAAGACCAAAAGGTTAGAGACACCATACCAATGAGTATTGCATTACTTAGGAAATTGCAAACCAACAATTTTACAGGAGATGTACTCATTTTAAAGGCCCAGGTGACTCAGAATTCCTGTAAAGAAAGTTACTTCCCACCCCCAACAGCCTATCACAGGTGTAATGGAAGCCAGTGGGCCTATTGAAAAGATCCCTACGGATGGAACTTGCACTTTTAACAAGTGCTCAGACATTTCTCTTGCACACTTAAGCTAGAGAAACACTGATGTAGCTTTTGAGATGCAGAATTACCTACTGTTGTGGTCCAAACTCTGCTGAACACGTGAATCACAGGGGGAACTTCCAAAAATAATGACAGCTGACTTCCACCACCTAGACATTCTGATTTAATTTGTCTGGGGTGTTATGTGGGAATCAAGAATCTTTCAAAGCTTCCCAGGTGATTTTACCATGCAGCAAAGTTGGACAGCCACTGACCTAATTGTTAAGAACTTGACTCTGGAGCCAGACGGCTTGGATTCAAATTACCAGCTATGTGACCTTGGGAACCTAAGTCACCTAACAGCTCAGGGCCTCAGTTACCTCGCCAATAAAATGGGGATAACACCCATCACCTCAAGGGGTTGTTGTGAACTTAGATGTGCAGAACGTACGTCCTGGCACAAAGCCTGCAGGACAGCAAGCGCTGAAAAGGGTTAGCTGTTTACTCTCATCACCAACTCTTCCTCATCCCAGCGTCACCGTGCAATGGGCAGCATCATCCCCACTGGGCGGCAGCAACTCCGCCAACCCTTCCGCTGGACCAAATTCTTCGCAGAGTTGTCTTCCAGGCTCCAGACCCGCCCCCTCCCGCGGGTTGCCAGGAGAGAGCTTCGCCCGGCCAGGGCAGCTCCCAAGGGCCAGCTTGGGTTTGCACAGACCAGAGAGAAGCCGCCGACCCTAGGGCCAAGGTACCCTACCCCGGTGGCTTCCCTCAAAATTCGGAGATGCGCTTCCGAAGGTCAGGCGCCTGGAGCACCCAGAGCCCAGAAACAAGCCTCAGCAGTCCAGTGACAGCCAAAGGGAAGAGAAGAAGATGGGAGGGGAGGGTCTAGCCGCCGCGGGGCCGACAGCCCGGTTACCTGAGGCGACGGGCGGGGCCCGCATCGCTGGGGCGGGCGCCGCCGCCGGCCGCACTCAGCTTTCCGCCTCACGCGACCCGCGCCATTAGGCCTGCTCTTTCACCGCCCCGGCCGGCCGTCCTCAAGCGGTCAGTCAGTACACCAGTTGGTGACTCTCCCAGGGCGCCTGGGGACGACGCAGGCCGGTCGGGCCGGCCGGCGGGGCTCTGCTCAGGCAACTTCCGACTGCCAGGGGCGGCGGCGTCAAATAACTCCCCAGCCAAATGGGACACTGCGCTTGCGCGGTGCGCCTGATCAGAGACTTCTGAAGGGCCGAGCCGGTGGTGTCAAATAATTCCCGAGACATGGAGCCGGAAGCTGCGCGTGCGCAGCCATCCCAGAGGGCCGCGCGAGGCATGTTCACTCCTCCCTTTCCGGCTCCAGTGGAGAGCGATAAGTGAAGTGACGGATGCCGGTACCTCCTTGCAGCCGGGGAGCCACTCCAACTGTGTCCCAATGATTCATACGACAATCTAGACTCAAGCCTGCTACCAGTGCGGAGGAGTAAGGGGCTTCTCTGAAAGATCCTGGCTGCCACTCACGCTGAAGAAATTTCTCACATCCCACCGTTTCAGCATTCTTTCTTTGAAATTATGCCTTTTGCCCGGCGCCTTATTAGACAGGCACAGCGTTAGTTAAGAGCTGCGTTCTAGCCAGGCCTGGTGTGGGTTAAAAAGATGAATCAGACATCAGTTCAGAGCCTCTCATTAAGTAACTGAGTTTGATATGGGAGATAAGACTTTTAATAGCAAGAAATGCTGATTTGAGCACCTGCCATGCACCAGACTACCTACCACTTTAAATAATTTGTTTCGACTTCAACGAAGAAAACAATACCAGTAGTGAGGTTAGCCCAAGTACCTTGTGTGTGTAAAGGGGGAAACTTGGGCAGAGAGAAAAGAGGAGGGAGGAATGATGAAATTCACGGAAGGGCTGGCCTTGAGACTGACCTTGGATATTCGGAGGGGGAGAGATCAGGATGTTGAGTAGTGCTGAAGGCATGCTTGTCTGAAAAGAGCAAAGAGAGAAAGAAAATGCAACTCCTCACCCTCTGAAAGGAGTGGCAAAGGAACTGGTATTCCCCTAGAACGGGTAAAACAGGAGAGCAATTCCTCAAGCCCAGGAAAGTAGCTTCAGAAATGAAGAGGAAAAGGGGGTAAGAATGTGCCAGGACACATTGTGGATCAAACATTTAAATACAACGTGACACATACTTTAGGAAACTCACTCAATATCTATTCCAGCCACCCCTCCTTTCCCTTTCTACACTACAGGGGCTAAAAAGCAAAGCATGTAGTCACCAAGCTCCCTGCAAGTGTGGCAGTGAGACAGAGTCCTGCACAATAAAATATAGACTGAAGGCCTAGAAACCTAGAATAAAAGGAGAGTATTGGGAAATCTGTGTCCTTCTCCTTCTGCCTACTTCACTGTTCCAACCGAGATGCAACAGGCATTTTGAGACTATGAGTGGACTGTACTAAGAAAGGTAGAAAAGAAAGACAAAAGGGCATACCCAGGCACCAGTGCAAACCCTGTATTACCTTCCCGTTTTGTGAGGGGAGAATCTTTTTTATGCCATAGTTTTCTGTTTCTGGAGTTTTCTGTTACTTGCAACCAGACACATTCTTAACAATGAATAATGAACACTTGTAATAGATTAGAAGCGAAACAGGAGATGGGAATTGGAAGAGTGACAGATACAGAGGACAGAGAAGCTTTAAATGTTTAAAAGCCTTTGAGATTATGAAAATACCTCCATCCCCCCACCTTGTGGCTTTAATTAATTCCTGAAATTCTGCCTCATGGGCAGCTTTTGAATGAAATAGTGTACATTTTTACTGATTTAAATGGAAAAAGTTGTGTGTTCAATTCCAACCTAAACACCTAGGATTTTTGTTTTATTATTGTTTTTATTTCACAAATAATACTGTAAAAAATAATAGAAATTTTAAAATCCCACACATTATTATCTTACAATCCTCTGTTTTTTTTCCCATGGTCATTTTTATATGCATTCATAATTATGTTTACCATAATAGATATGATTTTGAATTGATTTTTTTCTACTTAAAATAATAGCACTTAATTTTTATCATCTTTGTTAAAATGTTTCTTTTTAATTCACACAATAATTATATGTATATACGTATATATATATATATATATATATATATATATATGTATAGGGTACAGTATGACATTTCAAACATGTACACAATGAGTGATGATCAAAGCTGGGTAATTGGTATATCTATCACCTCAGACATACAGACAATTACATTAAAAATCCTCTCTTCTAGGTATTGTGAAATATTCAATTATTGACAACAATAGTTATCCCACTGTGCTACAGAACACTAGATGTTATTCCTCCTATGCAGCCACCTCTGTATCTTTCTTCATGCCCCTCTCCCCTTACCTTTATCTATATCAAGATCAACTTTTAAACTGTCACAAGTGAGAACTTGCAGTATTTGTCTTTCTGTATCTGGCTTATTTCACTCAACATAATGACCTTCAGTTCCATTCACGTTGCTATAAATGACAGAATTTCATTCTTTTCCCCTGGTACTGGCAATTGAACCCATGGGTACTTTACCATTGAGCTATACCTCTAGACCTTTTTAATTTTTTATTTTTGAGACAGGATCTCATGAAGTTGCTGAGGCCAGCCTTGAACTTGCAACCCTCCTGTCTCAGACCCCTGAATTACTGGGATTACAGGTATGTACTATCACACCTGGCAATATCATTTTTTATACCATTGTGTGTGTGTGTGTATGTGTATGTATGTATGTGTATATGTATGTATGTATATATATATATATATATGCCACTTTTTTATCCATTCATCCATCTGTGGACACCTAGGCTGATTCCTGGCTATTGTGAACAGTGCTGCAGTAAACACATGAATGTAGATGTCTCTGAAACATAACTGATTTCTGGATCACATAGTAGTTCTATTTCTAGTTTGTTTTTTTTTTTTTAAATATTTATTTATTTATTTTTAGTTTTCGGCCGACACAACATTTTTGTTTGTATGTGGTGCTGAGGATTGAACCTGGGCCGCACGCATGCCAGGCGAGTGCGCTACCGCTTGAGCCACATCCCCAGCCCTATTTCTAGTTTTTTGAGGAACTGTGATACTGTTCTCCATAATGGCAGTACAAATCTACATTCCCACTAACAGTTGATGAGAGTTCCTCTTTTTCAAATCTCATCAGCACTTGTTATCTTTAGTCCTTTTGATAGTAGCCATTCTAATTAGGGGAAGATGGTATCTCATTTTAGTTTCAATTTGCATTTTCCTTGATGATTAGTGATATTGAGAATTTTTTCATGCACCCGTTGGGACATTTGTTTAACATCTTTCAGGACATGTCTATCAGATAATTCACCCATTTTTAAGTCAGATTATTTGTCTTTTTTGTTTGTTTTTGCTTTTGTGGTGTAGTAGTTTTACTGTTGAGCTGAGTTCCTTATATATTCTGGAAATTAATCCCTTGTTGGATGAATAGCTTGCAAATATTTTCTTTCATTGCATAGTTTGTCTCTTCACTCTGTTGATTGTTGCCTTTGCTGTGAAGATTTTAGTTTGATATAATATCATTTATTGAATTTTGCTTTTCTAGACTGTGCTTTTACAATATTATCCAAAAAATATTTGCCCAGACTGATGTCCTTTGACATTTCCTGTATATTTTGTTCTAGTTGTTTCATAGTTTTGGGTGTTTCATTTAAGTCTTTGATCCATGGGGCTGGGGATGTGGCTCAAGCGGTAGCGCGCTCGCCTGGCAGGTGTGCGGCCCGGGTTCTATCCTCAGCACCACATACAAACAAAGATGTTGTGTCCGCCGAAAACTAAAAAATAAATGTTAAAAATTCTCTCTCTCTCTCTCTCTCTCTCTCTCTTAAAAAAAAAGTCTTTGATCCATTTTGAGTTGATTTTTTTTAGGTGATGAGAAATAGGGATCTAGTTTCTTTCTTTGACTTGTGGATATCCTATTTCCCCTTACCATTTATTGAAGAAACTTTCACCAATGTATATATTAGCTGCCTTTGTCAAAAAATCAGTTGATTGTAAATATGTGAATTTATTTCCTTCTTCTCTATGCTTTTCTTTTGGTCCATATGATAGTTTTATCCAGTATTGTGATGTTTTGGTTATTCTTGATTGTAGGATGTTTTGTTGTTGCTATTGTTGTTTGGTATCAGCAATCAAACTCAGGGGAACTCGACCACTGAGCCACATCCTTAGCCCTATTTTGTATTTTAGTTAGAGACAGGGTCTCACTGAGTTGCTTAGTACCTCATTTTGCTGAGGCTAGCTTTGAACTCGCATTCCTCCTGCCTCAGCCTCCGGAGCTGTTGGGATTACAGGTGCTTAGTTTGTAGGATATTTTAAGCCAGGTATCATACTACCTCTAGCTTTGTTCTTTTGCTCAGGAGTACCTAAATATTTTTAACAGCAACTAAAAAAGTCAATGCAACAAGGCAAACAAAATTATGTAACCAATAAATTATTTTGCTTAAAATCTGGCTTTTACATAAAATGTAAGGTATAAAAACTGATGGCACTGACCACAAAGACAGATTTAACACAGGTGGGGGTTGGTGGAGAAGAGATGCAAGTGAGTCGTTCTTTAAAAGGTGATTTCCCCCCCTGTACTCTTTATTAATTTTTTAAAACTTCTGAGGGATTTGCTTAAACTAATATAAAGATAACATGCACATGCATATACACATGCCTTGAGGGAAAATTAAAGACTAAACATCCAAATACTTTGAAACATGAGAAAAGTGTACATATACAACAAACTACAAGATATATGAGATGCTGTACACGCTTTTGTTCCAAAGCATGATTACTGACCAGAGATGTAGAACAAATTGGGGAGTATCTTTGCCTAAAACTGTAATGTAAAAATGTCACTTTGTAAAGTGTGTTTGAAAGGCATTGCATTGGATAAAGGAGAAGCAGTGGTGTAAACTTTTGTGACAGATGTTCTCCAAAAATGGCCACAGCAATCAGTGTGACCCACCCCACAATCCTTACTGCAATGTCACTGACACTTCTCCCACTGAGAGGTGGAAGCATTGTTCCCTCCCTTTGTGTCTGGTTGACTGATTAGACAGAATTGAAGCTATGTGATTTTTTGGGGTAGGTCATTAAGAGGAGAAGGCTTCCACTTGACTTGCTCTCCATCACAATGCTGACTCTAGTGACCCAGCCACCATGTTGGGAGGAAGCCCAGGCCATGCAAAGAGCCCAGACAGAGGTTCCAGCCAACAGCCCTAGCTAAATCTCAATTGACAGCATCCATGGCCAGAGATCTGCATAAGGAAGACTTTAGATGATCCCAGGCCCCAGACTTCAAGTCCCTCCCCACACATACACCAAAAGGAACAGAAATAAGCTGACCCTATTGAACTCATTCCATGGAGCAGATTCATGAGTGAAATAAGTATTGTAATTGTTTTAACCATTAAGTTTTGGGGTAAATCATACAGTAGTGGTAAATGGATCATTTTAAGAGCCATAATTGAGAAAAAGTTAACTGAACAGCTGCATGTGAGGAAGGCCTGTAGCCAATTTGTTTTTTGTTTTTTTTCCTTTTTCTGTAATTGTAGAGAACCACCCTGGCTTAGTGCTACAGTGTGTATACAGTTTAAGTGTGTCCCCCAAAGGTTCATATGTTGGAGAGTTGATCTTTAGGATGGTGGTGTTGGGAGTTGGTGTGGACCCCTCTGTGTGTGGGGGGGCGGGGATTAAATCCAGGGGCACTTTACATCTGAAGTACATTCCCAGCCCTTTTTATTTTGAGACAAGGTCTTGCTAAGTTACCCAGGCTGCCCTCAAACTTGGGATCCTCCTGCCTCAGTCTCCCAAGTCTCTTTGATGGCTGGACCCTAAAGCAAGATGGCATGGACCTTAAAGAGGTGGGGCCTAATGGGAGGTCCTTGACTCAACAGTGGGCATGCCCTTGGACAGGATTCAGGTATTTTACATGGGACCCGGGTTAATTCTTCTGGCCCCACCCAGTCTAACCTATGACAAAATGCCACAGACTAGGTAGTTTGTTTCTCACAATCTTGGAGGCTAAAGTCCAAGCTCCAGGTGCCAGATGATTTGACTCCTGTTAAAGACCCTCTTCCTGGTTTGCCTTCTTGCTATGCCTTCACATGGTTCAGAGATGCTCTGTTGTCTCTTCTTAATAAGGGCATCAAATCCATCATCAGAGCTCCAACCTTATGCCTTTATCTAAATCTCATTACCTGGGTATGAGACTTCAACATACGAATTGTGGGCAGGGCAGGGACATACATATTCTGTTCATGATATCCTTGGAGGATTTGTTTTTTTTTAGAGAGAGAGAGAATTTTTTAATATTTATTTTTTAGTTTTTGGTGGACACAACATCTTTTATTTTTATGTAGTGCTGAGGATTGAATCTAGCGCCCCGCGCATGCCAGGCGAGCTCACTACCACTTGAGCCACATCCCCAGCCCCAAGATTTTTGACATTTTATTCCATAGTACCACACGTACTTCCCCCATGTACTGTCACACCTCCAACTGATGCAGTGACATTGTTTTGTCATTGTCTTCAGGCTAGGAAAAAGAGACAAATGGAGACTGCTCTTCTCACTCTGCTCACAGGCCCCTTGTATTGCTCCCTGCTGGCTGCAGCAAAAATCAGCATCTAAAGCCATCACAAACCAGAACCAGGCATGGTCCACAATGCCTGTAATTTCAGTGATTCTGGAGCCTGAGGCACGAGGATCGAAAGTCTAAGGCCAACCTCAGAAATTTAGCAAGACTCTGTCTCAAGATAAAAAGAATTTGGGATGTAGCTCAGTGATAAAGCACCCGTGGGTTAATTCCCCAGTACCAAAAATAAACAATCTGGCCTGAATAGTTAACACATGGTTGGAAAATGTGTTGCTTTATGTTTATAAAACAAAAGCCCAAATGGTAAATTTAGCATGACTAGAAAATAAATTATTCACATTTTCCTGCATACTCTGGGTAAGACTTATATTTATAGTTCTCATCAGGGAGGCATAGTAACAATCTTTGAGAAAAAGTTATCAACCAGATGATAAACTGTCATGACTAATGACATATCCATCATTGAATAAAGTCTAGGGAAGTATAAAATCAAGAATATCTATACTGCTGCAATAATGAGTTCTAAACAATGTAACTTCCTGTGATGATAAGTATGAAATTAATCAGGAATGGCATATTTTATAATTAAAAAAAAAACTTGAAGGGTTGGTGTCTGGACTTGACAGGAACTGAAAGGAACCATGCCAAAAAAAAAAAAAAAATTGCCCTAGCCCATGCAAACCCTTGGACTGCCCTCACTAGTGTCATCCCCTCTTGCCTATGGCCTTCTTAAACTCCCTCCCCTGAGCCCACCTCTTCCACTGTTAAGGGCACCATTTTCCAGGTAGTCCTAATTGCCAGCTTGGGCTCTCACTGGGTGCTCACTCATGTCCCAGAACACCCAGAAAATACCCTTTCAATAAAAAAGGCCCAATTCACACATACCTTCTGCTTGGGGGCAGTGTACCTGCAGAGGTTGGTTGGCTGGTTTATGGTACTGGAATGGATCCAAAAGATTCACTATGCAATCCTTCTACCACTGGGCTATATCTCTAGCTCTTTTTATTTTTTATTTTGAGACAGAATCCTGCTATGTTGCCCAGGCTGGC